CAGTGGCGCTAGATCGATATCCATCCTTCCCTTGCCACTGCCGCTTCTGAACTCTGGAAACGCTAGCGTACGCCAGTGGCGCTAGATCGATATCCATCCTTCCCTTGCCACTGCCGCTTCTGAACTCTGGAAACGCTAGCGTACGCTGGCTTACACCACCGCAAAGTATAAATGCAGCCTAATGTCCAGTCCGCTCTTTCGTAACTATTCCTACGCTCATAACATGGTACAATTTGCGCCGACCTTTCCAATAGCGCAAACCTTATTCTCCTTTCCAGTTCGTTTTCTGAAGCTATATGACTTGGATATTCCTGCGTCTCATGAGGTCGGCAACCTCACGAGACTTCCCGGTAAGCGACCCCACGTTCAGGGTCCCAATTCGCACCAGCTTCATTGGCCGAGATCGTTCACCGTAGCCCAAGCCTGACCAGTGAACCTGGGCGAGGCCTCTGTGAGCCGCTTCCGGATGGAGCCCTAGTGTTAACACTGCACTGTTGCGACTTTTAATCACTTTTGTTGGAACAGGGTTCTCTACCAGAAGGGTTGTCAAAGTGGGCCTGATGCTGGTGTCGTCAGCATTTTTTGCAAGGCATGTTTTTCGCTTGACTAAAATCGAATGTTCGGTGTGCGGATATGAAACTACACTCCTAACAACTCGGCTATCCTGACTGGTCTTGTGCGTTACTTCCTACAACTATCGCTAATTCTGACTTCTAGACATTTTGTAGTAGCTGCGCTCATCATCGCTCTGCTTTTCAACTTGACCCGGACGCTGATATGGGCAACATTCATGCGAGGTGCGGCTGGGTAAATAGGCTGCTTTTGGCACCAGCGCCGAAGTTCATTGACAAATTCGTGATCAGAGCACTGGCTGACCCTCATAGTCAGCGTTCCCATCAGACAAGAAAAACTGAGGTTTGGAAGTGATAACAGTCGCACAGTGAAGAAATCTCGGATGGGCTTCCTCTTTTAGTAATGGTTCGATTTTGACAAGGATATATGCATCCCATCATTTGATCAAAAAGCTCTTGATCACTTTTTCCATGCTAATTTAATTGAGAACTTTAAGATATCAAACTGCCGATTTTCCACACATGCAACCAGTAGTGATGTCCATAATAATGGAGCTCATTTTCATTGACATGGATTAAAATTATGACACTACGAGAGTTAATCGATACAAAATCTTTATTCAGCGCATTCTGTTTAGTTTACCATGATGTATATGGTCATCCAGCGAGATATATCCACTACATGGAAGATACCGTGGACCATGGGCAATTGCCGCGTGTTGCGTCGCGGTCCACATCTTCGCGTGGCGGCGATTGTTGCTCTCCGCATTATTTGATCGTTGCTCTCGTCGCGAGATGACAGTGATGCCACCCACCGGCGAATCTCGTGGACGCCGCCGGTACGTTTTTTCTACACACCGTCGGCTCGACCCTTCCAGCAGGTAATGAGGGAATGGACGGAGTGAACATATAAGCGTATAAAAGATAAATCAGTCGGATAATAAGAAAAATAGCGTTTTTTTTTGCGGTTCTTCTTGCGTTACGACTACTGGAACCTTCAAAAGACAGCCAGAGGTGTTCTGTCAAGGCTGCAACTGGGAAACACGGAAGAACTAATTGTGAAGAAGTTAAAAAATTGAAAGTGCTGAGAAACGGAAGAGTCGAATTCTGATGCTCCATCCAAAGCTGAGACGTATATGCATAGGAGCGCAGTGCGAATATACGAGCATACCGCTATGATTTGGATGTTCAGGTTCGATGGGGTGTTATAGAGACTGCCGTGCCGAACACAGCCTCTGCAAGAACTACCGAGGTTCCGGATCCATTTTTAGGCAACCTTATTGCTAGAATCAAAGGTTATATGGTCAAGCAAGGGATGAAGAAAGAATAAAACATAGGGGTGGAGTGTGGCTGACTGTACTGTCAGCACTAAAATACTACTGTGAATTCTGAGGGATATAGTAATGTCGTACGAAAGAACACATATAACTTTGCTACGGGAAACATAAAAGGAGTCACTTCATCATCACTATCACACAACTTTGTTGAGTTCCCCGTGCTCATAGTCAAACTTACGCTCAATTGAGCACTAACGCAGCCGTGAGCACGTTTCGGCGACTTGTGTCTGCGCTATGGCGCCCTCTCACTGAGATAGTGATCTTACTCTTTTTTCTGACACAATCTTAGAGGGCGCCAGATTATTAGAGAGAGCGCGCAAGCGCACTGCTGTATACGCCTTATCAAAGTAATACCTTGTAAAGTTTTCGTAATAACCACAGGTAATGTGTCACCATGAACCATCTGACCACTTCAACTTTGTTGATTGAGTTTATTCCATGCCACTTGCCCTAGTGGGCGAATTTTCGTCATATTCTTCTCATAAGTACTGAAAACGGCGATGATCAGCATTCTGTGATTTTTCGAGCCAGGGCAAGTATGCAATGTTGACAGACTCTTTCAAAGATTCTGCCAGGGCAGCCGTAGAAGGAATCTACCCCCACTTGCCCATGTGGCCGTTGTAGGTCGCGAGATCAACAAAAGTTGGTCCCTTAGCGATCAGCCTGAAAACCACAGCATACTTGCAGGCTGTTAATCATTGACAAAATACGGGTTTATGCTTTTTTGAGGCTCTGATTTTATAGAACCATGTACTATTTTCGTCGCCATCGCACACCAACGTACTGGTCAAGGTTTCAGGCTCCTCCTCTGAGAGGTAAGTTTTCTTCTTGTATTACTGCACATCTTCATGATAAACTCCTGAGAATTTTTTTGGAAAAATAAAGGTAACTGTTTACAGAGGAACCGGAAGACCTCAATGGCGACAACGGTATGGAACATTTTAGTTAGTTTTTTTAATTCGAGTTCAGTCAGTTCAATGAGAACATGTTTAGAACAGGCAGCGCAAAAAAATCGCTCACAGGAAGAGGGTGCTGAGACCAAACAACTTAGCGGTAAGTACTTCAAACATCATCTGAATGGTTTTGCTTGAGGCGCACAAAAAATTGACGCAGTACGCGATGGAATTCCCTGACGAGGGCTTACTACAAGCTTGCCCGAATACTCGTCCGGACTGCTTTCATTCGCATTCGCAACCACCCGCCCATGCACTCATCCAAGCCTGTTAAGAATCATAAGCAAGTGGCACGGTAAATTGGTCTGTATCAGGCGTCTGGTATCAGCACGCCTGCCAGGACTGAATTCGGCGCGCCTGAGCAGGCGCTGCTTGGCGCCTTCTCCAGAGGAGTTGCTCTTGTAGAGCCCTATCAGGCCGCAACCTCAGACCAGACGCCCGCATGCCCATAAATATCCAACTGATGCTCGTATCGCTTCATTTGCGAAGTACAGTATGAAGCAAAAGAGTTGATTTGAAGCGGCTGCTTCGCTGCATGGATATGTGACTACATGCATGCAGCCGTATCCACCGTTTAGTTTTTGGCGCAACTCCAACGGGGAACTCGTCCGTGTAGAACAGAGGGCTTTTTGCAAGTTTTTGACCGTTTCACTTCGCTTTTTCGCTATTTTCCCCACTATATAGCACCCCTGCTGCCCTTTTAGACCGAGCACCGATTATCGTGCTCCATGCCTTGAAACAGCGTATTACTAATGCTTTCCAGCATCTGAGTACGCGAGATATGCTGCAATCATCAAAGCCGATGAAATAATGGAGCAACTCAGGGAAGCAGCTCGTCGTATCGGTACAGTTAACGACAACCTTCTTTCTTCTATTCTTTCAAGATTATAAGATTAATAAGATTCAAGATAATCCTTTTTAGTAGAGGATGCTAAACAGTTCGCTGCCGCCTATCCTCCCAAATAATGGGACAAAACGGGACACAACACGAGTTTGTTCTGATCTTTCTCGATACTTTATCGTTACATAATTTCAAGTATTCGAGCTCATCAGTGCTAAAATTCCATTTTTGAGAATCCCGGGTTTGTTGTCGTTTTCCATATGTTGTTCAACATCCAAGAGTCGAGAACCATCTTCAGCATCATTTCAATGCTTTAGTAACTTTTTGCGCTCTTCATGCGAATATTTTGTTTTGTACTTGCTGGTCTACTCTTGTGGTAGTTGACATAGCTTGCCTGCCTTCCAGTAAAGCGTTTG